TATGAGATCTTTGATGTTGACGATCATTGTTGGGTCGCCAATTATCTCTATGACGATCGCGGTGATTATCTAAGTTGCGATACGAAGAGCGTTGATGCTGTCTATCGCGATTGTAATAATGACGTTGACCATGACTCCAATGATCTCCTCTGTCTCCTCTTCTATTATTTAAATTGTTATTATTGCTATTGTTGCTATTATTGTCACGATCTCTCCTGTCTTGATAATTATTATTACGCCTTGCGTGATTCCTGCTATAGTTATCATTGTGAGCATTATAACTTCTTTTATTACTATTATAATCTCTACCAGCACCATCCCCGGCACCACCGCCACCTGCTTCGCCGCTGCTTCTACTCCAACTTCTACTTCTACTCCTGCGCCACGTGTCATCTCTTCGAGATCGTCCTCTTTCGTTTCTGTTAGTGTAACTATCTTGGTAGTTACTGTTGTTATTGTCACTGTAAGTCGAGTGTTGTGTAGGTGACGAGTGCGCAGAAACTGATGGAGGTGGTCCATATGGATTTTGTGGACGTGTATTGTGATAATTGTCGTCGTTGTTGTCCATCTTTGTTATTATTATTGTTTCGGATGAGGAATGAATGATGCGATCTTTCATCGAGAATTAATTTCATAATGAAAAGTGAAATAGACAGCGCCATGATAAGAATATTAGAGCACGTTGGTCCCACTGCTAATCTTGGTTGATGTATATACAAATGTATATTCAAATTCACGAAATCTACAAACCTTAAATCAGTCACAAAACAGGAATGCTTAATGTCTCTTAAATCAGTGAAATTTCGTAAAGATTCTCGTGTAATCCATAAGCGACTCGATCGAGTTAGTCAACGAGATAACGACACTAGTTGAAACCAATTCAAACCTCTTTGAATGTTGCTGAATTCGTGTATAATTGCGAATGCACACAAAAAGACTTGATATTCACATACATTAAAAGGTGATTAATTCTTAGAGATTCGTCTCGAATGAATTACTCCTTTGCAAAGAAAGATAGAGATTTACAGTCATGTGATATATTACAAATTTCGGTCGTTTACCATTATTTCCATTATTTCTCGTGATGTGATTGGTGCCACATAAAGGTAGCACACAGATTTCAATAGTATATGTTTTGTGCAACATCATCGATATTACCATTCAAATGTCACCTCGCATGTTAGGGAGAGGTTCAAATAAACAAGGTAAAGGTAATCAATTTAAAAAACAAGGTTTACACCAATAAGAAGGTTTAATGCAATGTAAATTATTGGTGTACTTAAAAAGCATCAATTTCTCTGTGTAATTACCTTTTTCTTTTATTTTCGTCAATATGGTACTTATTAAGTAAGTGGTTTGCAAAACTTCACACAGAGATGTACAAAACTTTAAAATAGAAATAGGAAGTTTTTTTATATTCTATGTCGGGTAAAAATTATTATAGATAACAATAATATACATTAGAGGATACATAAGAAACTCATCGTCAAACAAAGTAGAGAAATACGTTACTAATAATAAGAAAAGGAAAAACACGATATTAAATAACTGATAGGAGAGTGAACAGAGAAAAAGAGGATAAAATGAAATATGGCATATATACCATTTTCGATAGAACGTATAAGACGGAAACTTGTCATTGTTGGTGACTCTGGTGTTGGAAAAACTTCGTTGGTCATGCGATATGCTACTGGCAAAGCACCTTCAGTAAGTGTCTTTAGGGAAAATGTGAGAACTTGAACAAATTCAACTTACATTTCTTATGTACATTTTAAATTCTCAAATTTAGCATCATGTAAGTTTATATATTCATTTGATGGTCATTTTTCCCGATTTCATCAGTCGATTCTAATTAACGTTTTTAATTAGAAACCATTCATCTATGAGGACTATTTTGTAACTGAAATGATGGGTGATAAAGCTGTAGAGTTACGGGTGGTTGATACAGCGTATGTGGTCTGC